GCTTAACCTGACACAGATCTCTGAATTTGGCTCAAAACATGTTTATTAAGCTGTTGCTGCTGGAAAGTGAGAGAAAGGTGTGAATTTTCTGTTATGCATTAGTTCCAGCTTAAGAATTCAATAAGGTTGATTCAACATATAAACAAAATCTTATAAATCACAACTAATATTTATATGTGAAAAGAAAGACTAGGTTTAAGGTATTATTTTTATTAATTATAATAAAATTAATAAAAGTGAAATTTTATTTTGTATCTTTTTTTGCTTGTTAAAGGATAAAGAAACATTATCCTTTTCTGTTTTAGTTGAAAATCACTTCCATTACTAACTACTAAATCCCAGTTTTTTCTAATACAGTCATTCACCAAAGATGTTGGTCTCATCTCAATAAAATTCATTATTAAAGTCCATTTTTATTTCATAAGTCCATATTTAATTTTTTTTTTACATTTCATGATACTGAAACAAGTTTAATGCATACGGTGTGAAGTTGTAACAGTACAAAATAGAGAATCCCATCTCTTTGAACATATAAACTAATAGCAATGTATTTGAATGTCATTAGTTAGCATAGGTGAAACTGCACAATTTGAGTATGAGCTAAATTGAAGATTAACTATGCTTAAAAGGAATAATGAAATCCATGTTAGCAGTAAAAAAGCTTGGGGAACAATTACCCCTAAATCTTTTTCCACTATACCTTTAACAAGTTCTCTTTTATTTAAATTTTGTTTTTTGAATTTTATTCTTCATAACCTGAAGATGGCTGTTAAAAAAGTTGAAAATGTTTGTTCATATAATAAATTTGTTCATTTTAGCTGGATTTACAGGTGCTTTTATTATCTTTTAATATGTCTATTTGATGAAAGATTCTGTATATTATTGTTGTTTTTCTTATTTTATTATTGTTCTTGCTGACTTCCAGATTTTGGAAATAATGATGAAATCTCTAAATATTTATAAACAGTTGTTTTAAGTAATAAATGGAAAATATTTATTGAATAATAAAAGTGATTTTACATAACTTTGAATAATCTTTTTTTTTTCTAAATTATTTTTTAAATCATAATATACAATTTTAATTTTTATCCAATTTTTTATTTTTCTTTCTGTATAAATTAATTTATCATCTCTTGTAATATAATAATTTTTTCAACTTATTGCATGTATGAAAATATATGTAAAATACAGTGGATTCTGCTTATTGTAATAATTTTGAAACTTCCTAAACTAATAAGGAAAATAAGACTACAGTTAAAGTAAATTCTAATTTTATTGACTCTAACATTAAAAGGACATTTTAAAATTTAAAAAATTTTTAAGTCAACATTTATTCATTATCATATAATTTATCCAATATTGTTTGTCTGCTTCCAACTTTTAACAACAGTAAGCTAGCATAATACCAACTTTTTAAACTATTGTATTGCAAGCAAGCAATTAATGATTAACATTTGAAAGCACTGCATTGATTTATCATTTTATCATCAGCTATATATTGAGTGTAACAGCATGAAAAGAGAGCTTAAAAAGGTCTATTTACCCGAAAACAATAGAGAGGTTGCAGCTACGTCTAGCATGGCGAGTAGAAGATCAGTTTAAACTTCATTTTTTTGTATTTGGGGTTAAAATTATGACCTATTTTATTAAAATAATGATTATTTAAACATTTACAAATACTATTGTAAAGAAACAGACGATTTTAATCCAGAAGTTATTTAATTATTCAATTTTTTAGCAAGTGATGCGAAATGCCTATAGAATTTACATATATTTGTCTTCATAATAGCTTGTCTTAAAGTAGGTTTGTTATTCCACGGCATATGTTAAATGTATCCACCAATTTTTGAACAAATTTCCTGTGATGTTCACTGAATCACGTGATGATGTGAACATGCTCCGCAATGATTTTTTCTTGGAGTTAAAACGTAAATCGTGTACTTCTGCTTCCTGTTTACAAGTAACGTTTGAACTTGTGCCGCAACCTCTCTAATGTTAATATTACTCATGACTACAGGAGGAGTTTATATGTATGTATTAGATACTCTCTACAGTATGAAATTCAAAATATAATTTTAATTGTATATTAAAACATTTTTGTTTAATGTTTTTATTCTTTGCTTTAATTTATCTTATCAATATTAAGTGTCATTTTAACAATTTTTTCCCAGCTTTGTAAAAGAAGAAATCTCGAAACAACAGATAATTTTAAGGAAGAAATTGATCTATTAGAAGATGGTATTTCATTGACTTCTCAGGTAATAATGGTTTTTTTTAAATATTAAAGAAATTAATTTAATAATAACATTACTAAAATTAAACTTAAAAATGTCTTCAGCTTTTTTATTATCATCAACAAAATTTATAGTAATAAATTAGCATACAGTGGTACCTCAAGATACGAAATTAATCCGTTCTGACACTCAGATCGTATCATGAAAATGTCGTAAGGTGAATCATTTTTCCCCATACAATTACATGTAAAACCAAATAATTCGTTCCAACACGAAAAAAACACTCAAATTAAAGCTAAAGTAATACATTAAAAAATAATAATAATAACTATAGTAAGGAAAATACTAAAAAATGCATTTTGTAGTTGTAAATGTATAAATAACCGTAATAGAATAATAATTGATAAAAAAAAAAATGTAGTTTTATTTGCACTTTACCTTTGAGGATAGACGACGGTGGAAATGTAAACTGGTGGCGGAGGAGAGGGAGAAGGGAAATGATACTAAAACTTAACTTACATAACATAATGTAACAATAACTTAAAAATAACTTAGAAAAGATTTTAAAAAATTAGTGTTGTTTTATTTTTTAATTATTTTTTTAATTTTTATTCACTGCTTTTTGCTTTCTTTCCTTCACTTCCACCAGCACTTTCACTGGAT